ATTCGTAAATGAAGATGTTGTGAATAAAAACGGTTCTCCATTCTCAGCCCCACCTCCTCTTCTCTTATTCCCCTCCGCCTGGTAAGGCAATTCATTCATCAATAATTGATAATTGGTTAAGATGGGTGAAATGGAGAGGTAATTTGTTGAGTATAGGCAGAGTGCAGGGCCAAATGATTTGGCTTTCTTAGAACTACAACCAGAGTTTACTGAGTTCAGCTCCTCTCTTCTCGACGGCTCTCAAGGACGCGGCAGGCTGCTTATAGCCACAGGGCTGTTCCTCTCTCTCTTGTCCTCTATTTTTTGCGTCATCTTATCCCATTCACTCTTTGTTTCAGGGTCCGTCTCTATCCGTCGCTCCACATGGATCTCAGCAGGGGTTGTCGATACTCCACACACAGCTGTAATAGAAGAGTTACTGATGTGCAGCGCTTGTAAAGTGACCACCCGCTCATGTTCACTGTAGTTTCAGATTTCTTCATAGCAAGATAAAACCGGATAGCTTGTGACAGGCGTACATGTGTGCTGAATTTTGGAGCATGTGATGAAGAGGAGGGAATACTTATTGATTTCAGACAAACATCTTTTTTCTTTTTTTGAAAATCCCTGGATTCTTTTTGTTCTGCTGCCTTACCCTTCATCTCCATGTTTCTCCATCTGTCTCTCTCTCTCTTTCGCTAATGAAACTCCAAATGAATTGAAGCACGCTCGCTGGTTTCTCTCCCGACTCTCTCCCACTTATTATTCTCTGTCGCACTCTGCCTCCATACAGCACACATATGTGGGGTTTGTCAAGAGAGATGTCGTCTTTCTCTGTACATCCCCAGTAATCTTTTTAAGAGAAGGGTGATAATGTGTTTGCGTAAACCCAATTAAGACAAGGTGCCTGTCGTCTTGCTCTCTTTTGGTTGTTTGCAGTCATTTTCACATTTGCACACATTGTGTTTGATTAGTCTCTGTTTAAAAGATGCAGTTTTAGGTTGGATGAATGACGTTCACCAACTCATCTGCACCTTACTTTGAACTTTTCAGTCCTGTGAAGATGGTGTGATTCCCTGATTAGCATCTTTGTAGTGCTTGTAGAAATGTTGTAGGTTTAACCCTGTGAAGCCAGACATGACATATTTTTATTTATTAAATAAATACATAAATGGTTTTGTTTAGTATCATATTTAAATCATCAAGCTTGTAGACGGCATGTAGTGGGTTGTGTACAACAGGTTTTTCAGCAAGGGTTTAATCATGTTGTTAATTTAGAGGCCTTTTTGCATATCAAATATAAGACATTACACTTTATAGGTTTAAATGCCCCAAGGTTTTACTTGTTTGTTGTAAGTTGCTGTCAGTAGAAAAGGATAGATGGCTAGATACATGTATATTAGTTAAAGGAAGACACCATATTGAATTAAGTGGATCAAAATTATGCTGTGAGGGATATATTTACAGGCTTTACAAACAAAGGCATGCGCTGTATTACGGTCCTAAATCTTTGGTTCTCAACTCAGGGGGTCAGGGTCCTCTAGGGGGCCTCAGCAAACTTCCAAGTGGCCTTAAAATGATTAAAATAAGGCAAAACAAGCATTAAAATGAGACAAAACCACAAAAACGGAAAGATGATTAATATTTTATTCAGTTTCATTTTTTTCCTTTTGAAGAACCAGGGATCCCACGGTCTTGTTGTGATTTCTAGACCACAAAGTCATATAAATTAATAAATATTAGGCATTTTGATGAACAATTTTATAGTTATGCCAAGCTCTAAAATACTTTTATCGGATAAATCTGTATCCATTAAATCATGAAGTCAATTTAAAATCATTGTTTAAAAAGAGTGAGAACCACGATGAACATTCAGCTCTTGTAGTGTCGGTCCTTCAAATTACAGTCAAAAAAGTTGCGAAGCATTGTCCTAGACCACATAATTTTCAAAACTCATAAGTTTAGTGTGCAAAAACTCCATAAAACACTTTGAATGTGTTTTTTTGTTTGTTTTTTTTGGAAAAAGGTCTATTGCTTTGATTATTAAGTGGATTTTAGTGTCCTGCTAACTTGCTATGTTTTTGCTAGTTTTTAGGGTTATCTTTTTTTTTTTTTTTAATACCTGTAATTTTATGTGATCAAGTGAGATCTGATCGTGATCACAGAAAGCACAAGTTCATTGCAGGTAAAGGGGCCTAAAATATCTTGATCGCTAGATATGTCTTAAATGGTTTCTCCTTTAATGTAGTTAACATGGGCTTTTCTCCTCAACAAGCCTTGTGATTTGGAGTGACATTCATGTCTGTGACAAACAGTGTGGTGTGAGTTACACGCCAAAGTGCAGTACTTTTAGTTAGGTTGTAATCTATGACCTTCAGTATGATCAAAAGTAATTGTGATAGCCTTAGGGGTCGTTCATACAGAAGTCATTGTTGTGTTTAAAATTGCAAGACACGGGGCAAAGAAATGGGGAAAAAAAGGTCTCAAAGAACAATTTTTAAAAGTTGAACTTAACTTGAGCACCACATTTTTATAACACAAGTCACAAGTGCAATGGTCAAAAACATTTTTTTTTACATAAAAACAATGAAATAGCAGCAGAGTGGAATGCAACATTTCTATAATGAAATGCACGAGCACTGTGTGAATGCTCCCTTAGCATTACTATTAGCTTGCCAAATAGTGATTGACTGACACTGGTTTTAATTGGAATATGTTCTGACTGGATGGTCTATTGTTTACATACTATATTGCATTACATCATGACATATATGATATTAAATGACAAAAAATTGCTTAAAGGTGCTGTATGCAATTTTTGTTTTTTCTGTACTAAAGCGTAAACATATCATAAGTTTACAACATCACATACTTATTTCTCTGAAAAACAATCCTATAGCCAGCTATTCTACTTTGAAATGTGAGTTCCATGTCGGGATGTCTGTTTTTGTTTTGGGCTGTGTGATTCTGCCCACTGCCAATTTACCTAATAGTATTTCATCACCCTGTGTTGACCAGAAACATATTAAATGTGACTAAATCAACTTGTCGTCGCCTTCCATTGTCAGTTGTGCTCATTCCTGTTGCATGGTCCTCAATCTGGCAACCCACGTGCGTGTCGAGTCTGAGGAGGAGGAGGGGACAGCAGAAACTGCTCTCTCCAGTGTTTTGGAATTGAACATAGTACCCATTTCAACCACTAGCTGACTGTCAATGATACATACTGCACCTTTAAATTGCATGAAAGGTAAATGATTGAGTAAATATTGTGTGAGATCATTCAGAAATATCTGAAAACCGATAAATGTTCCAGTAGGTGCAACTGACACATGGGAGAACTTGGAGTCAAGAGATTTGTAGCTTCGATGTCATTTATAATTTTCATGTTATGACCAATAACCAATAAATGGCCAGTATTAAAAATGCTTACTAGGGATGCTTAGATCGATTGGCCGGAGATCGGTATCGGCCGATAATCACATTTAATGACTCGATCGGTACTCACTACACTTGGCCGATCTCACGAACCGATCACAATTTGATGACGTCAACGCGTGATGACGTACATGATGCGTGGGGACATAATTTAATGATTTGGCACCACAGTCTTGTCATCGCCGGTGTGGAAATGCTATTACGTTTTGAGAAACAATGAAAAATTCGCTATTTGTCGTGTATGTTTTGCATGATGATATGATGAATGGATGGTTCATTTTTAACCGCAGATTCAGTGATGTTAGAGCTGATCTGCGCCTCACTGCACACATCTGCGGCGCGTTACGGTTCCACGGCTACTGGAGCTGATCGCGGCCGCTCTAGTCAGTGCTTGTGTTTATGAACCAGCACGTTTCTGAAGTGACTCTCCATGCTGCTTGGCTAAAAATAGCCTTTTGTGAGTTGTCACAGCATGGAAGGCGGAACAAAACCTCGTCGGAGCCGTAAGGGATAACGGTAACATAATATGCTGATCGTGGGCTGTTTTTAAATGAACATTTATTTATAAAACAAAATATCATCTTTGGCCATATTAGCCTATTCAATAGCATTAACACAGGCTTGACTCCTTTCAAACTTTATCTGGAATTGTCACCGTTTCTGTCACTGCAACTTCCCGATCAGGCCAGGCGAACGTAGTAATGTAGTTAATATTTGCATAATTTATTATTTATTTTATCTACCTGCGACCCACCCGCAAATAATCAGAATGTATTTTTATTACCCCACCCATGGATATAGGAAAAGCAAAATATGTTTGCTGCGTAAATCAGATGGACTTACTGAAAATGCAAATTCATTCTCTGCCAGCAGGTGGTGCTTTAAATCGTGAGAAACAGAGTTTTCCCCAGTAACGGCTGTACACAAAGCAGCGCTGCTGCTGAGCTCACAAACGCTGCTTTTTCAGGCATATAACATGTCAGATGAAATGAAAATGACATCGAAAATCTTCTAAAGATAGTCTTCCTTCAGAAATACAATGATATAAAAACACCCGCGCCTCGTTTTGATTTTAAAACGTGCAGTACGTGCTCATGTTTATTGAACGAAGCCTTTTGGAAAATCCGTCAGTTTTGATATTGTGGCGAGCGCCACAAATAAATAAATGTATGGGAAACACATCCCACAGCACAACCACCTGAGCCCAACTTCAGTCTACTCATCACCTTAACTTTAACTGTGTTTGTAGCCGGCGCCATAGCCAGACTGATAAACAAACACAGACCGGAAGTTAACTTCAGGCCAGGCGCGTTGGCCCGATGAAACCTATATAAAGCTTGAAGCATCAGAATCGGACGGCATCGGTATCGGCCGATCACCATGACAAGAAATCGGTACTCCGTATCGGCTGCAAAAATCCTGATCGGAGCATCCCTAATGCTTACTACTTTTAAACATTCTGGTGCCTATATAACTATGAAAATCAGCCAATTAGCATCAACATACAGCATCACATCTGTAATAATATTAATAAGGGTATAAGGTGGACAAATGAAGGTTGTTTGTCTTTTCCCTTTGACTTTTAGGAGAAATGGAAGAGGAGATGGAGAACCCTGAAATAGTGGATCTCCCAGAGAAACAGAAGCATCAGCTGAGACACAGAGAGCTTTTCCTCTCTAGACAGCTGGAGTCTCTGCCTGCGACACACATCAGGTAACCTACAAAAAGCTTTGTCGATATTGAGGATACGCTTCGTTCTGCGGGGTTCTCTCTAACAGCCAACTGGACTCTCTCTCATTAGCGTCTGTGTGTGAGTCACACATCTCACACGCATACTGGCTCCCTTCAATCTTTTTCATGTTCTGGCCTAATGGAGTCCCCAGCACAGGAGAGTATTAACCTCTCGTTCATTCATGCCGTTCTCTCATCGCTACGAATTCAGCGGAGAGCAATTGAAATTGAGTCAATCTTGTTTTTGCTCAAGGGCTTGTATTTTTCGTCGAGTCATGTGAATAGAACTATTTAATGAGGATCATGCCCACTTTTATTTTGGAAGTTGCTATGAAGTCGTTGTTCTCAGGAAAGCGGCCATACAGCATAAGGCTGCCCTTTAAACCACCACATGCGCTCGTGTCCTACTTACAAACCTGAGTTGCTGACCAAGTCACGTCTGACTCGCGAACATGTAAATCATCTTTTGTGTTTGCGGAGAAAGTCAGACCCAAGGGTGGAGTGAGCTTGACATTAAATCTGGATGAACAGGTTCTTCACTCTTGTTTGGTGATGAAAGATGGACGGACGGCAAGCATCATCTCTCTCAGGGGCTGAAACGGTGACTCCGTTTCAAAATATGGTTGATTGGAATTTTCCTCCTGTTTTACTCCTTTGCAGTGACCTAAAAACATGGACAAGGGTACTGGCAGTGAACACCAAAAAAAAAAAAAGGATTATGTTTGGAAACCTCCATTTAAAAATAGAGATAATTGTCTTTAAATGTTATTAAAATGTAACTGGCATTAAACACAACAACAGAGTTAAGTTAGAATTTAGGATTTACTCAAATCTCACGTGAGGGCTTTGGCTACACTGCCAAAAACATTTCTTACTCAGCATTTTTGTTTTGTTTTCGAAGAACAATATCTAATTATCCTTAAAACAAGATACATTTACTTTGGGGGGGAAAAAATTAAGTCTGTTTGTTAGAAAAATAAACTTAATTTAAAGGGAAAAAATAAGTTTATTTTAGTAGCTTAAAATTTTCAGATTTTTGCTGATTATGTCAATTGACCTTGCTTTGAGGATATTTAGATATTCTTACTGGAAAACAAGAAACATTTTGAATAAGAAAAATATTTTTGCAGTGTAGTATTTTTATAATGGTATTCATGGCCGTTTTGCCACAATTTATATTGATACGATACTGGAAAGAGGTCAGGATGCGCAATGTTCATATTTACACCAGCTTTAATGTTTGCATGTAGCTTTGTTGGTTTGATGTTTTCTAGGTGTATTTTAGCTCTGGGATCTGTCAGGAGTTCTAATTCATGCAAACTTAGTCAAATGAAGTACAAATAAAATAAGAAATTATTGAATTTCTAAGTAACTCTAAGCATCAAAGCATTATAAGCAAATGTTACGCATTACAACCAAATATCTTAATATCTCGGGGACCAGGTTTTTTTATTTAGACTTTTTCAAACTTTATACATATTTGAGAGATGTACTTTTCAAAAAAAAAAAAAAACATAACCCTTGTTTATGATATTTCACAATTTGTTATACTTTTCCTCTCAGTCAGATTACTTGGGGAAAAAAAATTATCAAAATAATCATTACTTGCAAAACTAGGCTCAGTTGGCGGCAGTTAGACAAGCTGCTGTGAACGAATGCACCTGTTTAACTGCAATCAAGGAAGAATTTTCTGTTTCTGATACTTTTGGCTCCCAATATTGAATAAGTTTTTACATTCTAAATTGTGTGATACAGTTTTAAATGGAATGAAATAACAAATGATAGACTATATGTATGATTACGTCACTCTAATACTCATTTCTAAACCACAGCCAAATACAAAATTCTGTCCAGCAGTACTGTGAATGAACTATGTGAAGCGATTCAGATCTATTTAATAGCATATAAGGCTATGTGATTCAATCCACAGCTAAACCTGCGTGTTTGTGTTGTTTTTTTTCAGGGGGAAATGCTGTGTTACACTTCTGAATGAGACTGAAGCCCTCACGTCCTATTTAGACAGAGAGGTGAGTGTCACAGCATTATGCCGAGGTGTTTCTACGCATGTGCAAATGCTTTTGTTTGCTTGAATTTGCTTGCGCTCTTCGTATCTCCGTTCACAGTATGTCTGCAAGAGGGAAATGTTTATCTGATGTGTGTGTGTGTGTGTGTATGAGAGTTAGTTTTGAGTCCCAATCCAGATGAATAATTCAGTGTGTTGACCCAGTATGTTCCTCCTCATATTTAGTAATGAGGAGACTGGAGACTCAAGTCAAGCCAGTCCTCTAATGTCTCAAACACTGGCCTTCACCGGTTCATTTGTCTGTGTTTATATTAAAGGCCAGGAACATACTTTACCTGTGCATGTATGCATGATCTTGGTCAACGCATTACAAGTGTGCATTCCTGCCTTTGATGCAACGATGCACAAAATTAAGCTTTGCATTTGTGTACTTGGATGCAATATGTTTTTGGCCTTAAAAGGTGTCTCTTGGTTTTGCAGGATGCTTTTTTCTACTCGCTGGTATATGACCCTCAGCAGAAGACTCTGCTGGCTGATAAGGGAGAGATCAGAGTGGGAAATAAGTACCAGGCTGACATCACTGACCTCCTCAAAGAGGGTAAGACGTCTCTTCGTCTTATTGAGTTAGACATGGTCAAAGCTCTGAGCTCTTCAGATGAGACCATTAACCCACCACATATTTAACAGCTGTTTTCTCATCTTGTATTTCTCTTCATCTCTCCTCATATTACCATTTAACAAAAATCTTAAGCAGCACAACTGTTTTCAACATTGCTAATAAGTAATGTTTTTTTGAATAGCAAATCGGTATATTAGCATTATTTCTGAAGAATCATGTGACGCTGAAAACTGAAGTAATGGCTGCAGAACATTTAGCTTTGAAAAAAATATATTTAAATACTTCTAAATTGTCCAAATGATTTAGTGTTACTGTTTTTATTATAAAATTGCTTCATTTTTAATCAAATAAGTGCAGCTTTAAGCCTTGTTGAGACTTCTTTTTAAAAAAAAATCATAATTATTCAACACTTTTCTATATTGGTGGTTTTTAGGGATTTGTTTTAAATAATAAAAGACTTTATTTAATGCAACACAAGCATTTTTAAATATATACTGGTCGCTGATTACTGTTCAGTTACATTGAAAAGGAACTGGAGCTTTCAAGCGTTGCAAATTATTCAGATCATTGAGAAACCAAGCTCGCTTTTCCCAAAAGCATCATAAACATAAGTAGATAATAGAAACCATTGCCACCCATTGCTTTTTAGAAAAGCTTAGATTGGTATAATGTGTGAACAAGTCATTTAGAGTAGTTTGTGTGAACTGAATCAATGGATTCATTGAAAAGATCCAAGTCAAAGGAACAGTTTGTTCATGAATCACCCTAATCAATTACAGATAGAGGAATACTGTTTCACTTGTAAATGTATCACATTATGGAAGTAAAATGCCATTTTATGATGAGTTTACATGATTTGACACATTTACTGTACGTAGAATGGACTCCAAAATAAACTGAATTAGAAGAATATTATCCATTATTATCCCCCCCCCCCCCCCCAACAACCGCCCCCAACTATATCTTTATCGTTATCTTTATAGTTATCGTGCTTTGTGTGAACGGGCCTTTAGTGTGTCCAGTTTCCATTTTACTTAAAGTGAAAGTGTGACAGTTCAACAAGCAGAATTACAAAAATAAGGGCTGTTACACGTAGCTTTCTTGGATGCCATTGGTCAGTCAAACTCATGCCATTGGTTGAGCTAGTGTTTCTCTCAGGATGCTCAGACTCATAATATGAGTGGCAAAATTTGATTAGAATTTAAAGTGCACAGTGATCATCTCAAATAATCACAATTAGATCAAATAATCCCCACTAGGTGATTATGTAATAATTGCGACAGGCCTATTGCCAGCTCAGTGTTCAGTCTCAGCCTATAGGCTGTACGAGAAGAACATCAGAGCACGGGTTTCACTCTCCAGCCACCCAAATCTGCCCATTGTGTACAAAACATGAAGGAAAGACGCCAGAGGGCAACATCCCCATGCATAAACATAGACACACTCTCATGCTGCCCACACAATTCCTCTGCGTCTAGTGTCAATGTTGTTATGTAAATTGATCCTGTCTCTTCTGAAGACTTTAATTAAACTGCTCAATTTATAGAGACAATGTCTTTATAAGCGTCAACGTTTTGGACTGCGTGGATGTTCAGTGGAGGAGCAGAAATTTCTCAGATTTCGTAAAAAATATCTTAATTTGTGATTCAAAGATAAATGCAAGTCCTGTGAGTTTGGAAAGACATGAGGATAAGTAAATTATGACAGAATTTTCATATTCTTGTAACCTACCCATTTTACAAAATGGGGTTAAATGTAATTAAACGGCTATTTTGTTGATGATTTTAGTGAAGTATTCAGCTTTTATTTTTCTATTCCAGCTTCCTTGGAAGTCTCTGACCAGCATCATTGAGTATTACTACATGTGGAAGACCACAGACAGATACGTTCAGCAGGTAATCCAACACGGCTGTATCAAGTCTCTGTGTACAAGTTGAAAACCTAGATAGTTTTCACATTGAGACTAACTGTCTCTTGTTTCGTACAGAAACGATTAAAAGCAGCCGAGGCTGAGAGCAAGTTAAAGCAGGTTTACATCCCAAACTAGTGAGTATTTCAACAGGTCGAAGTTCAACCCTGGATTTGGCATTTCATCATAAGCTTTAAGTGATTGCACTTTAACCAGATGAAATCCAGTAACCGTCGTGGCCTTTTTTCTACAGTAACAAGCCCAGCCCTAACCAGTTGAGCGTGAACAGTGTGAAGCCAGGGCTTGTGAATGGAGCAGGGGCTCTTCCGGGATCACCAGGCCAGCCGGTCGGATTGGGCAGAGCATGCGAGAGCTGTTTCAGTGAGTATTTGACCAGCTCTTAAGTAATTCAAATGTTAAAGGTGACATTAAACTGGAATAGGACAAAGTATTTGAACAGGTAAAAAAATGCATTTCCACTTTGAAGAGCACATATTCTACAGTTTTATTTTATTTTTTTAGCGTTTTTTCCCCCCTGGTAATGTTAGTCAAGATTTTTCTCATCAAATGGTGCTTTTCCACTGCACGGTACGTCTTGGCTCGGCTCAGTTTGTGTTTCCACTGCAGTTTAGTACCGCTTTAGAGTGGACGGTATTATAGACATGTCGTTATAGTTACGCAGCATGTACTGCCGCGACCTCCTGAAAAACTTCAAGCTCTCGCTGGATCTGCTCCTCAGCTATCAACGAGAGGAACGTCTGTACTCCTCAACAGACCACGAAACAGTAAGTTCAAGTTAAACGCAAGTTCAATGCCGCAGAAAGTGGCGATTCTCTCTGGCAAATCAGTCATCAGCAGGGTTTACATGTCACATTTTGGTAACGGTATGGCTCGCTTGGAACCTCAGCCGAGGGGGTACTGAAAAAAGTACCAGGAACCAGGTACTGTACACAGTGGAAAACCCCCTAAAAGTGAGCCGATCCATGCCATGCAGTGGAAAAGCACCAAAAAGCAGTCATCATGTAGTTTTCCCTGACTTAGAATTAAACATGCAATTTTTGCTGCTATACCTTGATGAGTTCTACATCAGTGTTGTTGTTTTTAACTAAGGGTACGTTTACAACCAAAAAGTTTTTCTTTTGTGTTAGTACAACCCTCAACAGACACCTTGGCAATTGAATCGCCATTGGCTAGTATATTTTTTTGTTTACTCGCCAGACTGAAATACTATACTATATATATATATATATATAAAGTTATGCCATTTTACAAACACATATAATGTTTGTAAAATGGTACAGCTTTTTAAATATCTGAAAGTACACACTTAATATCAGTCAGTCAAACAGTCAAGCATTATAATATGATAATCAAGTATTATGTAATAATAGAAGTTTAGTAATTAGAATTAAAACTTGGTAACCATGAACTTAGGACTGGTGCTGGTGCTTTTTTTGGTCATTCAGTGTTCCTGTAAAAAAAAAACTAACAATACTGATGAGATATTATTATTATTATTATTATTATACGAATTCTACTAATAAGAACAATATAAAAACGCACTAAGGATTAATGAGCTACTGGAGCGCATGTCATGGCCGTCCACTTAGACTTATGCTCTCCTATACTCGCATAATAACCTCTCCCTTCTAAGTATGACCTGAACCATTTGATTACCATCCCAGAAAGCCTGACCAATTTTTCCTGTCTCTCTAGTAGTATGTTATGATCGACCGTGTCAAACGCAGCACTGAGATCTAGTAGTACCAGCACTGATATTTTGCCAGAATCAGAGTTTAAGCGAATAAAATTTATTATCTTAATGAGCGCTGTCTCTGTGCTGTGATGCGGTCGGAAGCCAGATTGAAAATTGTCCAGGTATCCATTTGAGTTTAAGTATTTGTTCAGCTGATTCAAGACTACCTTTTCAATGATCTTGCCTATAAAAGGAAGATTTGATATTGGTCTATAGTTGCTCAATATGGTGTTATCAAGATTGCTCTTTTTCAGAAGGGGTTTAACAACTGCAGTTTTCACAGCTTGAGAAGGCCTTAGACTTTCTATCACGTGATAAAACAGAAATGGAGAAAACTACAGGCACACTGGGTTCCCCCTTGTTCTGTAAACATTTGTGAATGTTTCTGCTATTATAGCGGGGAGCCGACACATATCACGGAGAGCTGCTATCAGTTGTTTTTGGTTCACCTACAGCAGATGGAGGGTTTGGGCCCTGGCGTTGTGGCATCGGCCGGAGAGCTCTCACTGGAGGAGGACGACGAGCTGGGCCCACAGGCTTTGGTGGTTGTGGGGCCGCCGTTTTTTAGTTGATATCTGGGGGCTTGCAGCAAAAGAGTGGGAGAGTTTTACAATAAGTAATAATGTCCCAACCAGTACAGGCTGAATACAATAAAGTAGCTGAGCACTGATTTGACTTTTATTTATTAAAAAAAGAGAGGATAAATCCTGTTTTCTATTATATGCCAGCTTTAATATTATTTCAGGTTAAAGGTTAAACTACAGCAAGTAGAGCAGAGTGGTGTTGGAAGGAGTTTGATGTGTTTTGTTTGTGTGTAGCCACTAGCTCGTATCAGTGGTACTCATGGGGGCCGCCCAACATGCAGTGCCGACTGTGTGCCTCCTGCTGGACTTACTGGAAAAAGTATGGAGGTCTGAAGATGCCAACCAGACTGGATGGAGAGAGGCCCGGACCCAACCGCAACAGCATGGTGGGTGTAAAGTGGATTCTCTCCAAACATGCTCCACAGGGCTCCGAGTCAATTCTTGACATGAAATTCTTGCTCTCTCACCCGAGTTGTTTTATTTAGTCTTTTTGTTTTTTTTACTGCGCAAGTCTCTTTGTGACTGTTAAATGAATGCCCCGAATGAGCGAAACTTTGTTTTTCTTTTGTTTAAAAGATGTTTAAAAGTGAAATTTGTGGACTTTAAATGTAAAATGCAATATTTAGGTTTTGCTGTCACCCAGGGCTTGACTTTCATCTCACTGTCTGTGTTCAGAGTCCTCACGGTCTGCCCATGAGACACGGCGGAAGCCCAAAGTTTGCCGTTAAGACCAGACAGGCTTTCTACCTGCACACGTCTCAGCTGACAAAAGCTACTCGACGCGTCTGCCAGGACCTGTTGAGATCCAGATATTTGGCCAGACACCCGTACATACCTGTCAACACTACCGCTATCAAAGCAGAGTGTGAGTATCTGCTGTGAGACATGAATATGGTACTTCAAGTTTAAATTGCTCTGATGGTATTTCTTATTTTGGAATTGATATATGAATTATGAGACGTTTTTAACTTATTATTAATATTTCATGGTATTAATACATTTTATCAAAACTCCATTGTTTATTTTTTTAAGAAGTTGTAATAAAAAAAATTATGTATACATGAATAATGAAAAAATATGTAAACTACCATTACTACATTCTTTTAAAGAGGCTTTTTGTCTTCATTATTAAATCAGTTGTGCCACCCTGATTTATTTATTTTTTGCCTCCAAAAATATCAAAATATGATAAAGCATGTTCATCATCAGATGAGTATTCAAGAAAATAAATGGATTGTGTGTGTGTGTGTTTATGAACCTAATTGGAATACAGAATTTTAATGGCATTTTTTATTTTAGGTGCCATCAGGTTGCCAGATATGTCCAAAAAGCCTCCATCTCTAAAGCAGACAGTAAGGAAGCCTTTAGAGTCAGTGGTTAGATATCTGGGTGAGTGGAGCTGTCTTTCCTTCAAAATCTTTTTCAAATTTTCAAGCAAACCCATTTTATTCATGTCTTTTCAAACCATTTTCCAGAGGCCCACCCCTGCCCACCCAAATCAGATCCTCCACGAGGAGCCACCATTTCCATGGGCAGCCTGACGCCCATCAAATCCACGCCCATCCTCAACAACGGCTCCCCCACCATCCTGGGCAAACGCACCTACGAGCAGCACAACGGTTTGGATGGTAAGCCATCGGCTTGTGTGTGTAAGACACTCTTTCTGTGCTGCCTACGTAACACACGATGTGATGTCTCATTCACTTGTCTTAAACTCTCCCACTCGTATCTTCACCAACCCCCATACAGGAAAACACGTGCACACACACACACACACACACACACGTGCTACTTTAATCTCTGAATGGCTTTCAGGGTTGTCATGGTAACGGATCAGCAGTGACTCACATGGATCATTAGTCCTGCGGGAGATCAGACCCCAAAAACACAGACTAAAGTCACTGTAACCGTAGATTCAAAAGAAGGGCTTCCCAAGCATGTGGCGCGGATATTAGGAACACTTATGTATGATCCCCTGTCACACAGTGCTTCATTACCCTCTTGTCTCTATGAAGGCTTTGGAGAGAAACCAGTGTTTAGCTGTTATATAAATTTCTGATGAGCTTGGCACCATTCTGTCCAAAGCAGCAAATCCTTTTTCTTCACCCCCATACTGATTTTTCAGATTTATTTTATTTTATATTTTAATTTATATTTGGGGTCTTAATGCACTTATTGATATGGTTGGTGTTATGTGGTTGTGTTAAGTGGCACGTGGTCGTTTCCATGTTGCCGTCCTCAAACCAGGTCCTTTGTGCTGTGAGCAGCATGTATTATGTAAAGGATGGGGTTAACAGAAGAGTGCATGTAGTAGCTCTTAGAACTAGTAGGGTGACATGACTCTTCAGGGTGAACGGCTCATGAAACTGTAGAATGGAGCAGTGTCTGGAGTCTCAATGATGGTAGCGTTTTTTTCAAAACCTGGAAAGCTGCTCTGATACACACTTCCTACATGGGTAGCTGTCTTCTAAGGTAGCATCCTAAATAGAATGGAATCTTATAAGTGACTGCATTTGAGTGCTGTACATAGGCAGCAACTTCATGTCCCACACAAAAAGCTCTCTTTATTTAAGCACACTAGAGACTCAACTCGTTTATATATTCTATTCTATTATACCATTCTAAACTATACTGTACCATTCTAAACTATACTATATTTATTATATTATACCATTCTAAACTACAGTATATATACAGTGGGTACGGAAAGTATTCAGACCCCCTTAAATTTCACTCTGTTATATTGCAGCCATTTGCTAAAATCATTTAAGTTAATTTTTTTTCCTCATTAATGTACACACAGCACCCCATATTGACAGAAAAACACAGAATTGTTGACATTTTTGCAGATTTATTAAAAAAGAAAAACTGAAATATCACATGGTCCTAAGTATTCAGACCCTTTGCTGTGACACTCATATATTTAACTCAGGTGTTATTTATTTATTAACAATGTGTATAGATGACTATCTACTTTATCATAATTAGTACATTTGCATTTATTCATTTAGAATACGCTTTTATCCAAAGGAACTTACATTTGCAAAAAACAGCAAGCGATTCATCATAAAGATAAAAATAAAGACAGGAAGTGGTTGTTGTAATAGGAGGTTTCGGACATTGTTCAGATTAGAACATGCTAGACAGGGAGGGATTAAGGAAAGAGAAAGCAAAGGATGCAGTCAAATGTTGACGAAAGAGATGAGTTTTCAGCTGTTGCTTTTAGTATTTACAAATGCACACAATATGGAATATACTGTACATCAGACAGTACAAATATATGTACATAAAATTGTGTATATAATAAATAAATAAATATAAATATATATATATATATATATATATTTATATGGGTGTATATATTATATTAGGTGTAAATGTTTTTTTTATCAAAATGTATAGATGGATTTATCCCCTCTCTTTCTCTCTTTATCTGTGTCAGGGTCCAAACCCAAAATTCTGGCTCCTCAGTGGGAAATAATGGCCAAGAGGGTGTCTGAAGCAGGTCGAACTCCCTCTGGCCTGCAGGATGAGGTTCACGAGCTGGACTGACCTCTGCTTTAACAACTGACTGCTACACTCTGACCAGATGAGCAGGTACAGCTCTCCTGACCATTTCAAATGAAGTAGATCATTTAATACATTTGAGCTTTCAAAATGTTTAGATTAAAAAAAAAAATCTTCCATCAGAAACTAATGTAAAATGTGTGTATACACTCCAGTTCAAAACTTTTTTAAAATAACAGTCTAACCATCCCCAAACTTTTAAACAGAGTACTCCTCCTACTCCAACTCCTTAAAAATATTGGTATACTGTACAAATAGGAGTATATGTATACTATGTAATACTATACTGCCTATTTGTTTTTTCTTTCTTTTTTTATATCGTGTAACACTTCCAAATAGGGGTATTAATACATTTTTTTTTAATGTGTAACTTTCATGTACAAGTTTGAATACTGTAAATAGCTTATGTCATTGTTATATTTGCAATGCTGTAAATATATGTTTTCAGTACATAGCACTAATTCCAACATATTAAAGCAAAAATATGTCTTGTGTTGTATTACAAACACTGACAGCATCTCTTTAATGCTTAAATTTCAGGTGAATCGAGATTTTTTCAGCTCTCAGCGACTGATGGACCTAAGAACGGATCTGCGGTCAGAAAGCCCTGTCCAGGCGGCCCATTTTTACAGCTGAAGCCATTGAAAAGACTGCAAAGCTCTGACATTTCCATGGGTTAAAACAGCCTGAAGCGCTCTGTTTTTTTTGCAGCCTGTGGCCAATCGCAGGACTGACCTGATTGTATAGGACTGATTATTATTATTATTTACCATTGGCTGTTACTTCTGTCATTGTAATTATAATTATTATAATTATTACAATTATTATTACTGTTCTTTTTATCAAGTATAACCATTTTCTTTCTAATGACTTGAGAAAATGTAAGAATCTTGAACGTTTCTTGAAACAACGTCCTTCCAAACCATAATGTAAAGGTGGGACAAACTGTCATTTTTGTCTCTTGCGTTGTTTTGTAACATGTCTGCTCTGAGCCGATGTGAAGGACTATATGACTTCTGTTTCTCTTCATTTGGATGCTTGTATTCTCCGGTTCTGTTAGCCCGTCCTGCCACAGTGGTTTAAATTATTCAGAAAGACAACGGAACGTTCTTTTTCTACCTTTTTCACGAGTATTGCAACTGCTCCTATGTAATTTCTCTTTTGTGAATATGTAAATGAAAACAGGAGGGAGGTGTTATTGTACAGTGGCGCATTTTGGGCCTTTGGTGGTTATCAAAGCTTGTTGTAATGGATTTGCCATGCACAGCGTATTCTTTGAAATATCTTTTTGTAAGGAAACCTCCCTAGCTCTCTCTTGCATATACAGAGAGGTGATGGGAACTCTGAAAAGGTACAACCCCGTTAATACAATGATGCACCTTCTTAAGAATGAGCTTGTATGAAAGTGTGGTTTTTGAGTTATTCCTCACGTATGCACGCAGCAAAAAACAGACCGCTTCAGGCCAGCGATATGTGATACAACCCAGTTTACTCTGCAGCTGGCTTATCAAATATTGATATCTTTAGGCCAACGCAGAGCTTGGCACACTCATCGCACATTACTTTTTTTTTTTTTAAATATTAAAATGACAAGGATGTATACACATACAACAGACTACACTTGTAAATATTTTTGGAAAATCTCAATAAGTAATGTATAATTTGACACTTGCAACCAAAGATACTGAGCTTAGCGGTTTAAAGGATGTATTTTTGGACAACAGCTGGGGAATGATATTTTTATAGACATGTTTTCATGAATTGCCATCATATCTAAAGCAGAATAGATAGAATATAATTTCATTCCTTACAAAAGAGATGGAAATTTGGAGTCAATTGTGATGGGGAAAGAATGACACGACAGATATCAGGCAAAGACTATTTTAATGTTTTTCATTTGTTATTAAAGGGATATTTAATCCAATAATAAAAAGCTGTCATTTACTCACCCTCATTTTGTTCACAACCTGTATGACCTGTATTTTTTTCTGTGGAATATAAAAGCTATTTTAAGAAACATTTCAGTGTTTTTTGTCCATACAATGAAAGTCAATGATACCAAACATTTGGTTATCAACATTCCTGAAAATATCATCTTTTGTGTTTCACTGAAATAATCAAGTCATACAGGTTTGGTATGACATGAGTAAATGATGACAGAACTTTAATTTTTGGGTGAACTGTCCCATTAAGTGAGGTTATATTTTCTAGAAAAGATTATGATCCTGCAGCCACAGGGGATTTATGTTTATAGCTGTAAGTAAAGTCCAAGATTTTAATGTAAGACACCTCATACGTAATGCGTTAATTCAACTTAATTGTGATATTGATATGCACCTGTGATTTTTAATTGATAATTTGTGTTTTATTATATTACTGCCACATAATCAGGCACTGTCTATGAGTTTTACATTTGCAGTGCCTTGTGTCCAGTTGCATGGGCTCTTCAGCTCGAAGCCCCGAATCTAGAGTTGGGGTACTTGGACTCGAATCTGACATGGACTCTGAAATTTTGGAATCCGAATTTTGTCTCTCCGAAAGTGCAGTCGAATTCATGTCATGTGTAACATGAAATATATATATATATATATATACATATAAAATAATTAAAGTGCAACATAAAATTAAGATAAGACATCGATTGGTTAAGAACCTGGACTCCACAAGGTGGACCCGTCTTGGACCCAACAGTAGCTACCTGGCTCCACTGGCTGTATTCTAATCTTATACCCCAGTACTCAATATTTCAGTTATGCCTGGGGTTTCTTTTTTACCATATTAACATACAGTATAAAACATAATGTCATCAATATGTCATGGGGTTCATGTATTATAACACAAGAGTGAGCTGAAGATGAAAACAGCAGTGAAACAGTTAATAGTGGGCACTTGATATGAGTGTGCGTCTTAAAACCTAGTGAACTACAAGCCTCGACAGTTTAATAAAATAAAATGCTAATAAAACCATGTTTGTGTCATATGTGTGTTGATATTTCCGCTATAAAAGTCGTTTCGCTATTGATATTTTACAGTCTCGTCTTCTGATCACTCCGTTCTCGGCTCATTGCGAATCAAATCAAGCATGCTCGAATGAGACGACTCGTGATTCAGTTGACTCAGTGAATCCGAGTCAGACCAGTTTTGTGAACCGATTCAACCAATTCATCACAGAGATCCGACTCAAAAGAATGAGTCGATGCCGAATCGGACGTCGCTACTAGGTAGGCAGCTCTACGGTGACAGAGAAGTGCAGAACAAATCACAATTCTGAAAACAAAATAACAAATTACAAACACAAATGCAAGTCTAAAAAACAAATTAACAAGTCAGAAAACACAACAACAATTCAGACAAACCGGAAGAGGTAGGTAGAGTTTGAGACAGTGCCACTGGTTTGGGATTACTCACCGCTTACTGGACGAGACATCTGTCAATCAACGTATACAGGAAGAACCAGCCGAAGAACAGCAGAGTCCTGGTAGAAAGTTCGGAGATGGTATTAAAGTAGCTCAGTTTAAATGTATTGTATGAATTGCCCTTACTATGGAATAAAAAATACGGGGTGTATATTTACATTTAGTAAAAAGTAGTTATGAAACTTCATCTTCAGTGGAGCAGATGGGTAAGTGTGTGTCATCAACTTTTTTGATGCGATCGACCCGGGTTCGATCCCGCCTTTTGCCGAGTTTTTTTTCCTCCCTTTCCAAATCTCATATTAGCAATGGATTCTATTTACACTACGTGAAAATAGCAGTATTTTTAGCAATATGCTATGAATAAATGCCTTTACAATGTGATATGTGATTTGAAAAGGGAGGAAAAAAAAGTTTGGCAAAAGGCGGGATCGAACCCGGGTTGATCGCATCAAAAAGCCAAGAGCAAGCGCTTATCCATCTGCACCACTGGAGCTGATGTCCTATAGCCACTTTTAACTAAATGTAAATATACACTCCGTAATTTTTATTCTATAGTAAGGGCAATTCATACAATACATTTAAACTGAGCTACTTTAATACCATCTCCAAACTTTCTACCACGACTCTGCTGTTCTTCGGCTGGTTTTTCCATGTATACGTTGATTGACAGATGTATCGTCCAGTAAGCGGTGAGTAATCCCAAACCAATGGCGCTGTCTCAAACTATACCTACCTCTTTTGGTTTGTCTGAATTGTCTTTGTGTTTTCTGACTTGTTATTTTGTTTTCGAATTTGTCATTGTGTTTTCTGACTTGTTATAATGTTTTCGGAATTGTTGTTGTGCTTTCTGAATTGTTATTTTGTTTTTTAGACTTGCATTTGCGTTTGCAATTTGTTATTTTGTTTTCAGAATTGTGATTTGTTCTGCACCTCTCGGTCACCGTACAGCTCGCTGTGTTTTGAAACGCAGCCGGTGTCTGAGCATGTGCTGTTACTACTGCAGTGAAGTAAAATATGTCAGTTATCGCCGGACAGCAGCAAGAGCCGGCTACAAATGTACTCTGAGAGGCAACCGGTGCAACGATTTTCTGTTTAATTCTTCCGTTTATCACCAAAATGAGGCCCGGCTTCGCCACATCTACAGCGGCGGAAGAATAATACGGTAAGCCTCGCCGGCTTTTAGGATGTTTTTTTAGACCTGTCCAGCATAGGTTATCCCACAATTTACAGGAGCCAAACCGGTATCATTCACTGCACCTTTCTTGGCCACCAGCTCGCTGTTTAACGGACTGTTATCACCTAAATAGGCGAATGAGGAAGTCAACGCTGCCTTCTCCATCGCGCACTTCATCCTTTAATTACGAACGAACTTAAGTTTGAGCATTTGCGATGTTGCATCTGCCTATATATCGTTTGTTTGTTTTCCGATACGGGAGCAACAGCGAACTTTATTGAATGTTTCTCACTATAGTGAAGTGCTTCAAGTCCGTACAGTTATAAATCGCCTCGTATTGTTGCGTTATACAGTGTGTCTGCGCAGCCGACGCAGCGCTGCAGTGGTCGGTTGTCATGGAGGCCTGCGCTGCGCATCCGACCGGCGCTGCTGTCACGACTGCGGTATATTCAGTCTCACGCGAAAACCCCTCAGATTTACATATCCCAAACAATTCGTATTGACATGAACATATCAGGTGTTAAATCAAGTCGCATCACTCTCAGCTTGTATTTGACGACACTTCAGGAACAGACAGTATTTTGACTAAACAGACCAAAAGAGTTCAAATTCTTCACAAGTATTGGGGTCACTGGCTATAAACAACCTTTGGCTCTGACTTCTCACTTCTTCCATCTCAGTCACCTACAGTAAGGTTAAGCGTATATAAATATGATACGTGCCCTTTAAGAGGTCGTTCCGGGATCGTTTGGATGGGTCAATATTTACTACGCTGACTCTGTCCTCATATTTCATACTGCTAAGCTGAAGCCCCACTTGCATCAGCAGCGTGAGATCAAAGACACTTAAAGCTTACTTGATTAAAACTGGGGATTGGGAGTTTAGTGTGGCAGATCAGCTCCACTGCACTCCACGCTGTTTCACTTGCCCACATCTCAACCTTGACTCTTAAAATAAGACGTGTAATTATGGTAAATGTTGGTTTGTCATTATTCATGCTGCTGGAATCAAAGAAGTCTTGCCGTGTCAGTCTTTTTGAACATCACTGTGGCTTGGTGCTGTCATGTGACAAACCCTCTCTATTAAGGCTCAGAAGTTGTTAATCTCTTGGCGCTGACCCATATGGGTCTGGGACATACTTGTGGTCCTGTCGGGGGAACAAACTGAAAGCATAAGCTCTCGGCTGCTTCATAATCACTTGAAGTAAAAAGTATATAACAGGCCCGATTGCAGAGCGGGACTGGGTGGTCCTGATCCATCTAATCATGAGCTTGGCCCACCTTATATTTTAAAGCTGGAGGAGCCAGACCATATTAAACTACCATGGTAGCACTCAGTGTTATTTTAGTATTATTTATATACTTATTATAGTATTCATATTTTGAATTCATTTATATTTGTATATTTTCAATTTTAGAAGTTTATGTTTTGTGCTTTTGATTTTTTAAATATTTCTATGTACCTCTATTTTTATTTTAGTTTTTAGTAATTTAATTAAGCTTAAATGTATTTTATTTCAATGAGTTACCAAGGCAGCATTTCTCATTTATA